GGGGGGGGGCGGCGGGCGGCGGCGCTGCGTAGTCCGGCGCCCGGAGGGGGCGCTGCTCCGGAATGAGGGCGGAGAGGGAGAGCGTTGCTTAATGCCGGGCCGGGGGAGGGGTGGGACCCCGGCGCGGCGGGTCGGGTCACCCCGGGGACGCGGCTCTGCCCTCGGGCCACACCTCCGAGACCCGGGGCATGGCCGTGGTCCTTACAAGTTGCAGGCTGCCGGAACGCCCACTGGCCAGTCTTCGCGCCCGCGCAGCCCCCTTCCAGATGCGCCAGTCTCCTCGCTGCCCTCCAAACACTCACTTTTCTTTATTATCGTGAGTGATCTTGGATGTACAGTATTCGTCAATGAATGAATGTGTTGAAATGTGCGATGCGGGAACTGCGCAGCGCCTCGGGTTTGGCTTTCTCCAGCATCTTACTGTATTGATCGTGCGTTCTCGATTTTACAGAGGTTTGAGTAATGGCTTCAGTAATATCAACTCATACGCATTTCAAAGTTTGTTTATGCAATTGTTTTACATTTACTCTCTTTTTATTTATAATTTTTGAATTAGATTTTGTTTTGGAGAGATTTTCCGTACGTGGTGGAAGTGTTTTTAATATTGGTAAATACGGATGATTTGGCGGTTTTATCACGTTCATCAGAAAGCAGCACCAGCAACATTGAAATGTTTTAAAGGCTTTTGCTCTGCAATGACTTGTGCAAGACGACGTACATACCAAAACGGGAATACCTAACTTTTTTTCTATTGGAATTTTCTGGAAGGAATTCTGTGCAATCTGAAAAGATTGATGGAGGGTACAGTAATTGCTTTCTACATCGCTTTTGTTAAGCAGTGAAAATTAGACAAACTTGGAGATTTATACCTGGACATACTGAGTTTTTGCACACTCTTGAAGTGAAATTTTGGAAAGTGCAGGTGAAATGAGGCTTTTTCCAATCTCCCCCTCTCCCCCTCAGTTTGGTTAAAAGGCAAACACCAAAATATTGTAGTAGCTGGTAATTTACAGAACGTTCGTTACCAGATTTCAAAATTATATATTAAGGTTGTACAATATGTGTATGTCAGAGTTATAGGTAGTAGGTCGTAGAGTCTTATGAAAAATACAATGTTATAATCTGAGTAGCGAAATGGTTCCTGTTACAATGGTTATGAATTGTCAAGGCAATAGGGCCAGTATATGTCTTCAGTCATCTTTTTATGCCTGAAATCCGGTGTAAATGGATGTTCCCCGGAACAGCCATTGCAGTGCCATATATTGGTCGTTGGTGTCCTTGCAGTGTATCTCAGATAACGGTGTGTCTCCCTTACTTGTGAGCTGAGGGGTCATGATATTGCTGCGGCTTATGTGTGCCCCTCTGCATTTTGTGGGTAGTGTTTCAAATTTGGCTCTCATATTAATAAGATGAGAGTTACTAATTTGGCTTTAACTGGAAGAAATTCAGGTGTTTTTCACTCCCCAGTGACTTACCTGATTGGACGTAGTTACGACGTTACTGTTTGCACTCCTTAATTGCTGGCATCTTTTTTCTAGTGTGTTAGATATACATTCTTTTGGTTTATCATTTAAAAGAATATTGCTGAGAAAGCATTTAAATGTTAATACTGTATTTGTTTATATTTATTGGATGCTTAATTAAATGTGTTTTCTTGTCCTGAATGAAAAGAAATTAGAAGAGAATCAACTGTTTTGTGCATGTATTTTGTTCAGTTTAGAAGACGTGGTATTGTGAAAACAGTGTAGTCTCTGGAGTTAGACCTGGAGTCAGAATGTATATCTGACATACTAGAAAAAAGATGCTTGGAAGAATGGCCTTCCAAGTCAGAAGCATCTGGGTTGAAATTGAGCTCCACTCCTTACTGGTCCAAAGCCACATGACTGATTCATCATGCAGCCTTTTTTTTTTTTTAAAGAAAAAAAAAATTTTTTAATGTTACTCGAATATGTCAATTTTACTGTTTCTGTATACACACATTTGTTACTGAAAATTGCAAAAATAGCACATTAAAGGTCCTTTTATTGGAGTTCAAACTTTTGAAAACCAGAAAATTTAATGATGCTCTAACCAAACTACCCAACGTTTTCTTTACATTCTTGCCCCACAAGTTGCTTTACTTTTATTTTGATATTGGGCTTCATCTCACTGACTTCAGGCTTCCAGTACACATGGGAATCTTAGGACCTACTGGCTCTTTGGGTCACATCAGGGAGGAGAACTAAAGTATGTTGAAGTTATTCAAACACATTCAAGCTACATAGGTGTCTTATAAATTACTGGTATCATGGTAGGAATGAAAAGATAACAAAAAAAGACATCACAGAACTCTTTATCAAAATTATTGGTATACAGGCTGTCCTAGCATAGAGTAACTTTTTCAACCTGGTGCATAAAATTACCAGCAAGAAAAGCACATGAATAATAGTTTATGGTTGAATTGGCTTGGTGTCATGATTCCCTGTTCTAGCATTCTCAGGCTATGATACACACAAACTGCAGCCACGTTGGAATGGTTCCCTTCTTGAAACATTTTGAACTCCCTTTAGGCCAATGTCTACTAGTTCTATTTCAATCCAAGGAAATCTGTTGAGTAACAGGTATCTCAATTTTACCCTATTTTCTTTCTGCATAGATAGCAGTGTTTTTACTTCTCCTACTCCTAAGGCAAGCCATCTCTGATGTCCTGGAAGATTCTCTTCTATCCAGTTGTTGGAATGAATCTTCTGGTAGAAGGGAAGGGGGGAATTTGGTACTAGGGTTGAAAGTCGTGTTACTAAGGTTCTTTATTGACATCTCTGAGCAGAAGAGAGGCCCGAGTTGTCCTGGAAATTTTCTTCAGTGAGCATTTATGAAGACTCTGAGGTCAAGGTTGGGTTAATCTTTTGTGGTGGGTTCATCCAAGGTCTAGTCAACAGCACTAAGCTCTTCCTGGATCTTTGGGACCCAGCAGATAGTGATTCCAGCTCTCAAATTGCTACAAGGTAGCCTGGAAAGAAATCTATGACCCAGAGCCTGAAGACCCAAACTCCAGCAAATAATGGTGAAAGAGCCAACTCCCAAAGCCTTTTAAAACCTTCAATTTCTTATCTGTACACTGGGATAAAACCTATTGTATAAGGCTATTTTGAGAGTTACATGAAATGGACTTATAGAGTTCTCAGTACAGTTCCTGAAATACAGCAGCTGATACCAGTAGATTTCCTTCCCTTTTCTACTTTTGAACTTCGCTGTAGTTATTGGCATTTTTTTTTTTTTTTCCCGAGACGGAGTTTCACTCTTGTTACCCAGGCTGGAGTGCAATGGTGCGATCTCGGCTCATCGCAACCTCCGCCTCCTGGGTTCAGGCAATTCTCCTGCCTCAGCCTCCTGAGTAGCTGGGATTACAGGCACGTGCCACCATGCCCAGCTAATTTTTTTTTTTTTTTTTGTATTTTTAGTAGAGACGGGGTTTCACCGTGTTGACCAGGATGGTCTCGATCTCTTGATCTCGTGATCCACCTGCCTCGGCCTCCCAAAGTGCTGAGATTAAATGTTGCAGTAAACAGTTGGCTTAGTTGTGCATCAGTTTTCAGTCCAATTTAATTTTAAATTAGCTCTTTGCTGGTAGCCTCTTCATGACCTTAAAATGGCCACAAATCCTTTATATAACAGGCCGTGTTTGACTAAATATATAAACAGAGGGCCTGATGTGGTGGCTGATGTCTGTAGTCCCAGCACTTTGGGAGGCTGAGCTGGGCGGATCACCTGAGGTCAGGAGTTCGAGACCACACTGACCAACATGGAAAAACCCCATCTCTACTAAAAATACAAAATTAGCCAGACATAGTGGTACATGTCTGTATTCCCAGCTACTTGGGAGGCTGAGGCAGGAGAAACGCTTGAACCCAGGAGGCGGAGGTTACAGTGATCTGAGATCATGCCATTGCACTCCAGCCTGGGCAACAAGAGCGAAATTCTTTCTGAAGAAAAAAAACAAAACAAAACAGATGTATCCTTACAGACTTTATAGTTTGATAGAGGAGATACAAATGCATATTGTGAGGGAATTCTGCGCTGAAGGTTATCTGGGAAGAGAAGGTGATTCTATAGAACATCAGAATGGGAGAGGAAAGACATCTGGCTGGAGGGGAAAGCAGGAGCAGAGGCATGAAAGGAGTTAGAGAGACCATGGGGGATTTCAGTCCCAGCCAAAAGTTAGCCACTTGTTTGTTTCATTCCTTCCTTCCTTTCCTTTCTTTTCATCTTCTGTCTTCCTTTGTGAGTGTGTTTATGTGTAGCGTGGGATGAGAACACCTACCTCAGGGGTGAGCTTAAATGAAGTGAAGTGATTCGTAGGCTCCTGGTATTCAGTAAATGCCCAGTTGATATTGATGATGATGTCACCACCGCCAGCACCATCTGTAGTTTCCTATGGCTGTTCTGTCTAGGGATGAATTTGGAGGCCACATTTTAAATTCTGCATATAACATTAAGGTGGTTGGTGTTTAATTTGTAGGTAGGGGGAAGCCATTGAAAGGTAGGGACAGGATTGGACCTGTGTTTTAGAACAGCATTAAAGGGGGTTTGGAGGAATCTGCCCACGAAGGAACTTTAATCTCCAGAGTCTAGCCTGTTAGAGAAGCTGGTGAAGTCATTCGAGGCATGAAGTATTGGTCTGAAGTCACAATATTTAATGTTACGTTAAATGTGCTTTTTTTTTTTACTGAAGGGAGAAGGGAGAAAGGATTTATTTAACGTGAATATTATTTTATCCAAATGTTGAGAGAATAGATGGAGACTAGTAAGGCATTTTTGTACCATTTGAGATGTTAGATTATAGTAGCATCTTAACAAAATAGGCAGATTTTTTAAAAAACTAGATTATATTTGTTTGTAGTTGTTTATGTTTGGGCCTGTGTGGATATTTGAATTGCTATTACTTGACACAGGCAATAAGTAGAGAAAAGAATGCCTTTTCCTGCTTTTGGGTTTGTTTGTTTGTTTGTTTGTTTCGATGGAGTCTCCCACTGTTGCCTGGGCTGGAGTGCAATGGCGTGATCTCGTGATCTCGCATGTTGCTCCCTGCAACCTCCACCTCCTGGGTTCACGCGATTCTCCTGCCTCGTCCTCCTGAGTAGCTGAGATTAAGGAGCGCACCACCACACCTGGCTAATTCTTTGTGTTTTTTTTTTAGTAGAGACAGGGTTTCACTGTGTTGACCAGACTGGTCTCAAACTCCTGACCTTGTGATCTGCTTGCCTCAGCCCCCCCAAAGTGCTGGGATCACAGGCTTGAGCCACTGGGCCCGGCCTCCCCGACCTGCCAGATGGAGTCTTGCTCTGTCGCCAGGCTAGTGTGGGGTGGCATGATCTCAGCTCACTGCAGCCTCTGCCTCCTGGGTTCAAGCGATTCTCCTGCCTCAGCTTCCCAAGTAAGTGGGACTAGAGGT